TTCGATGCTTTATCAACTGTTGGACGGATGGGATTGTATGCATCGGTATGGGATAGTGTCATACTAGGTTTGGATTAGCTTAAATTGCTAAGTCCTACCTATTTTGGAATAAGGGTACGGGTTATTAAATAAAAATCCTCCTTATATATATGGGTCGGTGAGGTTGAATACGCCGAACGACTTACTGGGTTTCTTGTGGATGGTTAGGAACGGAATTTAAATATATTTTTATGTTACCGTGACATGAGCCTGAGTCTCAGAGTCGACGGTTAGGAGGTGTATATGTAGTTGGATGTTTAACTGGCTGTGAGGGTTGAGGTATACCCTGTTTAGGTTTAGGTACTTATGCTCACTCAGGTGCGTTTTGTGTGATACCTTCTATTCAGGTTAAGACCCTATTCATAGTCTAGCGAGAGTCCAGTAGTGTGGATATATTTATGTATGGATTATTAGTTATTGTTGAACTATTTATTATGTACATGCGTATCGAGCTTCTGCTTGGATTGTAGTAGGATAAAACTTGTTCGTGGGCCTGACCCACTCCTCTTTTTCAGGTGTACGTCAGTTCTAGGCTTGAACTTCAAAGACGATCTTCCACTCTACCAACGATGTAGGACTTCTTTCCAGATAATAGATTTGGATTTTATCTTTAGCTTTACTTTCATTTCAGTTTGGGATTTTATTAGGGGTCCAGAGATGGATTCCCGAGTTGTTTAACTTATGGGGTTTTGGTTTATCTAATTTTAAGTTTATAATTTTTAAAGGATTTTATTTTAGATTTCTTTCAGCTATTAAAATTTTAATTCTTATTTCATTTAGTAATCTGTGTTCGTTATAACATATTAATTGTTTGATATCCCTCGGGTTTGGGCCTGGGCCTGATCAACCCGTGTCTCGGATCCGAGGGGTATCACACAATAGCAAATATTTGAACAAGTTCACAAGGTGAATCAATTTAAAGTACTACTACATAATCAATTTATGAAATCTACTCATGCTAGTATACTATTAGCTTAAAGTCCATGATTTAAACAACAATTAAGTATCAAATACACAATTAAATCATTGAGAAGGATTATATAGAATTTTAATATATTACACTATTGAAAATCTCTAGATTTTAAACTACCACAAAAATGAAATAGCTTCAACACAAGTGATAAATCATTCACAAACCTTAAACAATTTGAAACCCTAGGCTAGTTACATACAAGATTCATCTATATGAAACTCTAGAATTTAAATAACATGCATACAATGTATATTAACCCCAAAGAACATATTAAAACACTAAGGGTATAAGCATAAGACACCCCCTACCTCACTAGAGAAATGTATCTCTAGAATCCAAGAACAAGAAAGCAAATGGAGAATCTAAGAACAAGGTAAGGTAGACAATGAAGTGGGGACAATTTTGTCTTCCAAGTGCAAGACTAAATGGTGAGAAAAAAAGGGGCTTGAAGCCAAGCTCTTAACCCTAGTGTTTCGAGTCTCTAATGGTGGCTTTAGGTGAGAGGTTGGGGAAGAAATGAAAATCACAAGATTTTCCACTAACAAAAACACTTGGTAGTTACAAAAACAACACCAACACTACCTCTCTTGCAATGATCCGAACCCAGGGGTCCGAATGGCTTACCAGGTCCTTACCCGAACCCGAGGTCGTCTAAGGACATTATGGTTAATTCCAAGGTCGATACATAATATAAGTGCCATCCCAAGGCTATAAAAAAAAATGAGATCACTAATATAAAAGATGTTAGAACGGTCCACTAACCCATTTAAACTTGTGGAGGAGCGTCATCCGCCATTTCCTTCCCGTAACCTGAAAAAATGTAATAATATGATGGGGTAAGCCAACAGCTTAGTAGGAAGTGTCTAAGACACACCTCTTATGACCCCATAAATCCACATAAAGAATAGAGTACAAGTAAACGGAATCATGCCTCGAAAAGTAAGTAAAACAATAATAATATCAATAAATACATACACAAGTCATCCGACTACTAAGTGTGTAATATATGCCAATGATATGCCATGCCATGAAATGTCATTCCCCATTTCTGAAATAATACCGTTTCACCTTTCCTAGCCGTTAGTGCAGTTCGACCCTAGGCGACTCCAAGGCATCATGAGAGGAGGATTGACTAACTATCCACGACCACAAGGCAGCTCCAAGGTGTCGTATTTGGCCTAGGTAGCTTAACCAGGCTAGGGTCTCTTCCTAGTCCCCTTTAGACCACACTAACGCCGCGGACCACTAGGCACCTCATAGGCATCCGGGTTTTTCGCAAACCACTTTTCAAAAACATTTTTTTCCAAATTTTTTTTTTCATTTGCTTTCAAAACAACTTTTCCCTTTTCTTTCCCAATTGTAATGCATGAATTATGCAAATTCTTCAATGCCATGACAATATAGAAATTTCATACATATCATCCACATCATTCAAGCATGTTTAAAATATGAATTTTCACACAATATCACATTCTCATATTTCTAAATCATGACATTTTACATACTTTCAATTTGCAAATCCAATAACTTAAATGCATAAGGCATAAAATAAAATGATTTATTTTCATAACTACAACATCACTTTTCATAGCAATTTAAAATCATAGGACATATAATACATCAACACTAAGCATGCTTCTTCACCACAAAGAATTTAATCATATTCATAAGCTCACTTAACACATAACATGTCTTTATCACCATAAATACCAACAAACACAACAAATATAATCAAGATAATTAAAATTAAGCATGCTTAGATTCAAATTAAAGGAAAAATTCATAAAAAATCCAAGAAATTGTGGATTAGAGCACCCCTACCTCACTTAGAAGAAAAGCCCTAATTTCACTCCAAAATTCGAGATTCCAAAATGCTCCAAACTGAAATTTGCTCCGATCAAAACTGAGGTCTCGACGCGCTCATTGACTTTACTTTCAGTGACAAAGTCTAAATCTCAATGAAGAAAGAAGATCTAAGCTTGATGTAATGGATAAAAAAAAAGAAAAGAAAATGAAATGGTGGCTGAGAAGGAGAACTTGCGTGAAAAGTGAAGAAGAATAGAATCAGGTAATGACCTTATGGCCATTATAACATTTCATTTTAATGGCGGGTCCCACTCGATAAAAAAATCAACCATTAACATTATTTTATATATATATATAATCACTTTAGCACCACACAATTAATTAAATAATTAGGTAAATATGCACAAAATAATAATGTATGAAATGCAACAAATCTGAAAAATAATCCCCATACACCACCACTCCGGTTATGGGTCCCACTTGGGACCTCCCGGCTCGATAAACAAAAAAAAATACCGAAATGACAATCAATGCATTTTCAAGAGTTTTAAACTCAAAGAAATGTCTCAACCAACTCTCGCAACACACCTGGTACACTCTACGGTATCCGGAATGCAAAACTAGATAAGGATTAAAATAATCCAGAAAATCAAAAAATTCCCGAAAATTGAAAAATAGAAAAATAAGTAACATTACACCTCCACTTGTCACAATCAAAGGCCTTCTCACTAGGCTTAATCACATGCCTACATTTGTCACAATCCTAAGCCAACAAGTGTACTAACCATGAGCCAACAAATGGGTGAATCTTCATCCTACACTTGTCACCATCCTAGGCCTCCTCACAAGGCTTAATCTCAAGCCTACACTTATCACCATCCTAAGTACCCTCTCTAAATTCAATCAACACCTTACACTTGTCAACATTACAGGTTTCCAAGTGTTTCTCCCAAAAGGTGACAAGTGGACCAAAAGAAAAGATGACACTTGTCACACTTTTCAAAAATTGCAAAATAGTCTCTCTTCTAAATATCTCAAGAAAATAATTACAAAATGGTCCCTAAGACAAAATATTCTAAAAACTTAATTATACAAAGCACCCCGAGAAATGAAAATGTTTCCGAAGAAACTATGCATTCATACCCCTACGGAATTGGAAACAAGCTATCATGCTTTTCTAGGTAAATAAATCATGCACTGATATTGAATTAAAATAATGTAAGTGCATGCCGTGCCGGAAAACAATTCCGAACACTAGAACCTAAGGCAACAAAAAAGGGAATAAATAAATAAACAAATAATCAGTTAAATGTTTAAAAAAATAAAATAATAAAATATTTAATCAAATAAAAAAAAAAATCTGCTGAAAAAAGAGAAAAAGATGACACGGTCATCATAGAAGCTCAACACCCATTGATTTGATTTGAACATTACTTAGAATAGGTAAATGAATGTATGAGTACACTTGTTTTTTAAAAAAGGTTTTTAAATATTTTTTATGAGTCAAAATATGTATTTTTGAATATATTTTTAAAGTCCCACTGGTCCAAGTGGTATCAGTTTCTAAGACTTGTAAAGTACCACCTGTTGGAACAAGTCTCACCAATGTAGGTCTCAAAATCGAGACCAGTTGCAAATTCAAAAAAATTTGAATCCACGGATTGCTACACTCCCGGGTTAGTGGCAAATTAAAAAAAAAAAATTGAATCCGTAATTCATAGATCGGATCACGGATTGGGCTGTTAAAAATCTAATCTGATCCGTTTTGATCCGTGAGATTTATATATAAATATTCAAAGAATGCATTAGTTAATTTAATTATTTGATGATTATTTAATGGACTCTAAAAATATATTAGTTAATGATTATTTAAATAAATGAATTAATGGTGATTAATTTAAATTTTATCTATTGGGTTATAGTTAAAAAAATAAAAATAAAATTAGACTATTTAGGAAAAAATCTCAATTCACGGATCCAATCCAATCCGATCCACCATTCAACGGATATTATCCGATTCGATCCATAAGATAATGGATTGGTAGCGTATTTAGATTTTTTGATTCTGTTGGGAACGGATCAAATTAGGATTGATGTCTAATTCGATCTGTGACAATCCTTACTGTATAGTTGCACCTGGAAGAAGTCCCACTAGTGGAGCTGCTGGGATGGCTCCGAATTTGTGAGTTTTTATCAAATTTTGACTCCTATTTATTCGATAGGTTGTTAAAACACTTTTGCCTTATTTTACTTGGACTGTCTCTTGTTTATAAAAATTTTCAATTCACACATTTAAATAACTATTATTAATGAAAAATTATATAATTGTTGATTTTTTTTCACCGACTACATAACGTTATCTAATGTGGAAAATAGTGATTGGAATAAATACTTAGAATTTTTTTTTTTTGTTTATTTTTAAAAGCCAACAAGAATTCTTGTTGGATTCTAGTTATTGACGTAACTACAAAAACCGAAGGGTTTTTATAGCATATAGGTCAAAAGACATACAAAGAGATCACATTTATGTCCTCTTCTCTCCTTAGGTGCTCATTTCAGCGCCTCACTTCCAAGGTGTGGTTCAGTTTTGCCACCTGAAGTTTATAGTTTCCTACGGCTACTTTTCTGTTGCCTTGCTCATCAACCACACTCATGTCCTTGCACATATTTACACGGAACTTTACCACAGCCTGTTCTTGTGGTTTCAAAAACACCTTGTCAAAGGCCACCAGCATCTTCTGTGGTGGATTATGTACAGGAGGGGGTGTCGAATACAACAGAATCGGACGGCCTCCGGCCATTTTCCCTGTGTTCTTAACTCTCACACGGATTTCGAAAGTTGACTTCTTACAAGCCCTTCCAGAAGCATCAACGGACTTGGGATTACCTTTCTTGCCTGAGTTAAGTTTGACAACCTTTGGTGCTGAAACTATTTGGTGGTCAAAAGTAGTGTAACTTAGACCATGCCCAAACGGGTAGACGGTAGGTCCAGTGTAGAACTTATAGGTCCGGCCAGGGAATCCCGAGGTCTTGTTTGGTCTCATATGCATCCTTGCCATGGAGTACTGTGTATATTCTCTTGGATACCATGTCACGGGTAGTCTTCCACCTACATTAAAAGACAATGTCGAGTTAAAACATTTCATGTATTTTCAGATTACAAGACACCGACAAGGAGGCCCTGATGCCACGTGAAGCATGGCATCAGGTGCGAAGTGAGGCGCACAATTAAAAATTTAAATTACTATTAATACAAATTCATATTCTATGTTGTCAAAGGCATCCCTGTGCACACATCAGGGCACAAGTGTTGCGTCTGTATGAGCCTAGGCGTGCGCCTTGAACAACACTGCTCCAACCCTAATTTATATTTTTGTATTCAGGTGAGTTATGTGAAGAATCAAGTAGACATACTTGGATTGTAACGGCCAAAGATCACATCTGCTATTGCTACACCACCATGTTGACCAGGGTAACCAGCCCAAAGGATGCCTTTTATGTTGTTATCAGTGTTAGCGAATCCAACATCCATGCTTCCTCCAGAGAATACAACAAGAATGACAGGTCCCTTTGATACTTTTGAGACTTCAGAAATCAATTTTTCTTGCTCTCCTGGAAGACTAATTTCCTCTCTGTCAACGAACTCGTCTTCAATATCTGTACTTCCGCCCACTACCAGAACAGTAGCGTCTGCTGCAGCTGCTGCTTTCTTAGCTTCATCCAATATTGGTTCTTCACATGTTACATTGCAGCCACGCACAAAGGTAGTTTTAACTGAAGCTGAGAGACCTTGCAGAGGACTTATATACGAGCAAGGAATGCCTGCAATGTATTAGTTAATCATGATTCAGGATGCTGATAAGTGACGATTTTGAAATTTGAATACTTGGACGATAGACATTAGAGCGCTTGGAACATAAAGAAAGAATAAACGTATCGCCAGTGCAACATTCTCATGACAAAATGGTAACACTATGAAATAACGATGTAACGAAATTATTGCATAAATGATGTAAAGACACACGACATAATATAGGATGAAACATTGCATTACAGTTGGTTTAACCGAATTTGAGTTAACAATGTTAAGTTCTCGAAGCAATATGTTAAAAGTACCTTCATAGTTGCCAATCATGGCTCTTGTGGCATTGCCATTGGGCCCAATTACTGCCATGGACTTGATATTAGTGGGATTTAGAGGGAGTGTTTCTCTAATGTTCTTGAGCAACACAATTCCTTGCCTAGCCGTCTCACGAGCCAACTCCTCGGTCGCAGGGGTGCACACATCCTTCGGGCCTAGCTTCCCATATATACCCTTGCGGGGGTTACCATCAAAGAACCCAAGTCGCATCAATGTTTTCATGTTGTTTGTGACAGCCCTATCAATTTCTGGCACCTTCAATAATCCAGCATTCACGGCACTATGAGCGAATTTGCCTACGTAGGATTCATGATCACAGTCCAGATCCAAACCTGTTCGATTTAAACAGTTAATAAACATTTATTGTGCCCAGTTATCCTATACTTGCTAGCCAATTGCCACATTTTCAATGTCATGTTGTCACCTGCATTTACAGACATGGCTACCGCCTCAATTCTAGTTTTCGCGTAGTCATGTCTATTGTAAAGGAATTGTACTGCATTACAATCCGAAACTATGTATCTGCAGCATAAAAAATCCATGTTAACTTGGATGGTAATGGTGACAATAACGCTATTGCTTATGGAGCATAAAATGATTACCCGTTTAATTTCCATTGGCCTCGGACTAATCCTTTCAGTAGGTCAGGGTCAGCACAGGCTGGTGTGCCGTTAATTTTGTTGTAGGAACACATGATACTGGCCCCTTGCCCTTCCATAACACAGCTCTTGAATGGGGGATTAAATGTCTCTTCCAAATCTTGCTTTGATACCTAACTCACGTTTACAATGAAAATGATTATACGAAGAAACATCGTATTGATCATATATATATAAAAATGTTGGAAAAACAAAAGATAAATAAAATCGAAAATATACCACAGAATTGAAAGTGAATCGTGAATAACCCTTCCAGCCGTCTAGATCATATGCTGTCAAGTGTTTACAGCAACCGGCGACCTTAAGCTTTTCCGGGTTATTGTCATCAGGTTGTTGTAGACCTTTAATGTAAGCTACTCCGAATACGCTTGTCAACAATGTATCCTCCCCAGGAGTTTCCATGCCTCTTCCCCATCTCGGATCTCGGAATATGTTGATGTTTGGGGACCAAAAGGTCAATCCAGCTTGACCAACATTGTACATTGCTCTGGCTTCATTGGCAACCGCCTGCATTATTTGATCATGTCAAAAGCAAAGAACATAGAATATCAAATAATGATAAGTAGTCCAAAAGAGGAAAACATCCGGTTGTTTCATGTGAGTGGGAGATGACATCATCACAACTCATTAAATATGATGATAATGTCATCCTCTACTCACGTAAATGTAGTCCGAATTGTCATGACTCTCGGATTCTGTATCATTACTCAAGAACATTATTATATCCAATAAGCTCCAGATAGTGAGGGTTAATTTACTCTTGCAATGGCGTAAAACAGCGAAACGTTGAAAGAAGCGGCCATGTTGATAGGCATAGGGAAACTAGTAGCTCCACTAATGTTACGAGCCGAATTGAACTCAGACCCGTTACCGGTCGTAGAGACACCATGTAAGGCCTCAGACCACCACCTATAATATGGAATTCCAAGTCTTTCCACTTCTTTTGAACTGCTCTTGATGTATCCGATTTTCTCCTTCAATGTCATCCTCGTCACCAAATCTGCCACTCTCTCGTCAATCGGCTTCTTTTGGTCACAGAAGGTAAACTTGGCAAACTCTGGATTGGCGTCGACATCACAGGCAAACGGAGCTTTTTCGTAGGGTGAAGTGTCGTTATGAGGTTTTACTTCCTGTGCAAATGCCAGGGTTGAGATCAAGAAAATGGATGTGACAAATATTATAGGTGGTGAAGAGGCCATGGTTGTGGACTCTAAGAAAACCTGAATAGAAACAAAGGCAGAAGTGTAGATATAAAGTGTAGATGTAAAGTTATATATAGGTTATCTGAACGGCAAAAGTGGCAGAATTTTAGGCAAACAAGCGGATGAAAAAAATACAAAAGATTTTACTCCTAGAAAAGGGGAAGCCAATAGAATAATTGACAGCGGAAAATGAATCCCAGATGTTAAGAAAGAGATACATACATTATCCATATTTACCTATTTTCGTTCAATAATAGCTTGTCATTAATGTGAAACTAGCAATGAGAAAGTAGGATATATTTAGCAGGTTCTAAATTTATCTTTTGTGTCATAAACTTGTCTTTTCTATTTCCTTTTTATTTTTATTTTTATTTTTGTCTGTTTCATTACACCATATGGGACGGATGACTAGAGGATATGTTAAGGAAATTTTTTCGTTAATTACCTTGTACATATGAAACGGGGATTACGTACCGAATACTCTAAGAGATCAGCCATCACCATCTTTTAACATCCATTAACCAGAAACTAAATCGAGCATTTATTGCAAAATTAAATAGTTGTACTCATCATCTTTGATTTTGTATCAAAGCAACCAAATGTACAACAAGAGAAGCATTCCCCCCATGTACAGCAAGAAATTAAGGTATAAAAAATCAGTGCACACAAAAAGACAAAAATTAAAAATATCAAGATTACATAATTGTTGCTTAATCAACCAAAAATATCACCGTGTCATCTCTCAAGATCATCATCCGAAACACAATCACAAGATCCCAAACACTGAGCTCAATATAATTTGAAATATAAGAATTGTCTTTTAATGTGTAATATATATATTAATATTAAATAATAATTAATAATATTTATTTAAAAATTCTCCATCTTGATGATTGAGATGCAAAGTTATTGAATTAGATTATTGTATTCAAGTTTTGTTAAGGTATATATATATATTTTTTCAGTAGATAATATATTCAATTCATTTAATTTTTCTTGTCACGTTTAATTTTTTTTTTTTAAATATATATTTTTTGTTCTTTATAAAGAATTTTCTTATCACAAATTTGATTATCATTATGAACCAAGTCATTGATATAAGCTTATAATTCTTTTAGATGACTTGGTTGTTCATTGTTGTACATTCTACATAAAGAATTTTGTTATGTGGTGTATTGTTTCGCAGTTTTGGCATTTTTGAATTTCTTATTTACTTTATTTCGAGTGTCGTTTTGCTTGCCACATGGTCTCCGATGAGTATTTAGGACATTTCTATGAGTTTAGAACTATTAGAAATGCATTGTAGGACATTTCATCGTTTTTAGGTTTTTTGCCCCAAGAGGCCCTATGTGGGCCTAAGGACGGGTTTTCGTGCTCGAGAATTATTTCGGCTTTATTTTCATTCATTTATATAATTATTTGGTGTATGTATATATATATATATATATGACTATATATATATATATGTAAATGTGGCAGTTTGCATGTAAATGGTATGGTTGTAGTATTATATACACTTTGAGGGTAATTTGGTAGTTTGGAAACTAAGGTGGACACCACCCTTTGACCTTGTGACTAACGAAGACCCATAAAATGAGATTTTTTGGCTTCATCGCCATCATCTCTTCCTCTCATATCCATCCCGACCCACTATCTCTCCTCTCGCTCTATATCTCTCGTGTTTATCTCTCTACAAACACACAAACCTACATATACTTCAACCTATATTTTATCCATTTCTAGTGAGATTCGAGATTTGAGCAAGAAGGAAAGTGTGACCTCTTTTCATCAAGGGCTTTCATTTGATCCAAGAATTGAAAGGATTGTAGCATTTCAAAATTTTGAGGAAAGACTTTGGCTCATCTTTGAGGTAGAGTTGTCTAATTTGCGTAATCCTGGTTTAACTCTTACTTTCCCTCGTGAATAAGTATGCTTGGTGTGAAGAAATTGATGCTATATGCTTTGTATGATCATGTGCAAGATGACTACTTGCTAAGATGTTGAAATATTTAAAACCCTATGTTTATAATGTGGTAAAATGCTAGTAGACATGTTTTCTTTGCCATTCACATGAAGAATTATGTGCTTTATGTTTTTAAATTGAATTGATATACTTTGAAATTGAATTTGAAATGTCTAGCATGCTTAATATTTGATTAAATACGTGTGAGAACCTATTGTAGCAAACATGATTGACGCTATGCTTTATAAGAGAGGATTGCTATATTGTTGCCATACATAATTGAGAGGCATGCTCACAACATCACATTGATGATAATGCATTTCATGGTGTGGGTGGTGATGTGTGTTGGGAATGTGAAAATTGAATTTTGAGAAGTTTTGTGGAGAAAATGTTTTCTCAAACTCGGTATAAGGGAGGTACCCTTTTATTGGAGGTGTTAATTGGCTAATAGGGGCATGAGAGGTACCCGTGAGTAATTTAGCAACTCGGACCCCAAATGGTAGTTGGGAGTGTGAGTTGTAAGGAACGGAATGTATTTAAGAAAGTTTTAGGTTTTATACAACAGACCTATGTCGTTACCAACTTTACTTATTTTAGCAATTAAACAGTTAATCACATGCAGATAAAATAAAGCAAAATACAAAGTTAGAGATGACACCAGGATTTTAGTGGGGAAACCCCAGTTGATAAAATACGTCAACTGTTATGGGAAAAACACTACAAGAAAAAAGGCTTTTAACAACTTGTAATTGACAACATGCTTAAAAAGTAAGTCTTTATAAACACTAATTTAACACTTATTTTTAAAGTAAGTCGTTAAATATTAAAACACACTTATATTCACAGCTTACACTAATTTGTCCATTCAAGTTTCTTTTAAAGACTTGCATTCTTTACTGTAACGACTTATTTTTTATATCGTAAAAAGTGGGTCAAAAATTCTTTAAAACTTTATTTCCCTGGCGTTATGACTAAAGGAAATTTTTTTTCGCCGTGCTAAGCCCACTAATACATGATCTGGCCTACACTTCATTACATCATTTCCTCTCCTCCATTCTAAATCCTTTTCCTTTTCCTTTTTCTTCTCTTCTCTCTTTCACCTTCATGCCTCCATCTCCTCTCTCTGAAAAAACCCTAGCCTCTCTCTCTATCTCTCTATGTCTCATGCCGAGGCACCACCACCATCAACCCACATCCTCACACCATCACCAAGCCCTCGCTCTCTGTTCGAACCCCCTCTGCCATAAGCTTCTCCGGCCGAACCTCTTGGCCGCCGCCGTTACTCTCTCCTTTCTTCTCGGTCTCGCTTTCTCTGGTCGATTCTTGGCCAAGGAGAAATCACATCTTGCCGCCGGCCACCACAGTTCCAGTTTCGGTTGTCTTCTCCAGCCAAAAATTTCAGGCCGAGTCTCTCTCTCTCGTTTTTCTCATCTTTCTCTCGGGTATGCTCTTATCAACCCGAAATTTGATTTTTGGACTTTGATTTTAGAATGGGAATTTAGAATTTCCTACATATATTTGTGGTTGTGTTTATTAGGGCTGTGAATGTATAAGTTTGTGATGTGAAAAAGGAGGATGGCCTATGGTAATGGAGAATGGACTGTGACGATTGAATGTGGTTGAGAAACTTTTTCTAAAAAAAATTATGTGAAGGGTTTGTCCCTGACTTTTGAAATTGAGGTTGACGATGAATTGAATTGAATTGAATTGCAACTTCTTGGGCCTTTAAATTTTAGATTATATATATATATGGTCTTGTGTTGTATCAAAAATTCTGGACTGTACTTGAATTCATAAAAACTGTAAGATGATTTTGATATAGATATATCTCTGTGACTATGTTTTTGAACTGAAATGGGGCTGTGAAATTTAAACTGAAATGATGTATATATCTTGTTGCCATGTTGAAAATTCTATGAAGCTTGAGACTATGTTTTGATATATACCCATACATTGTTTTTTGTTGAATAATCATTGGGGCTGAGGTTTTGAAACTGCTTGATATACATGTGTCCATTTATGTGTTTACAAAGCTTTTGAAAAATTGTGAATGGGCTACAATATTTCAAATTTTCTGGTTAGAGCTATAATTGTGACTGAGATGGGTTATCTTGATTTTTCTGTTAAAACTCATGTATAAGAGAATTGATGAAGCTTTGTATTTCAATTCTTCAGCGACTCCTCCTTAATCTAGCAACTCATCCCTAATCTATACAATCATTGAACGCTACCAGGCAGAGTATTGATTTTTGACAAAGCCGTAACAGCCTAATGATGTCTTCGAGCCTTTGTAAGTTTTATTTGCTTTCTACTTCTTTTTCAATTTTGATTTTGTGAGTTAGATTATGAGATAATTGCATCTGATGGTGAGATTTAGGAGTTATTAGGGTTTACCATCAATCAATTTCACTTATTGTCCAGTGAGTTTAAGAGTGCTGAATCATTCTCAGTCTCGGATATTTGAGTTACTGCGCATATTTGAGAGGGATTGTAGTTCTCCGCACACTCCATATACCTCCTCTTTTGGGGCATTTATTTTAATAATGCCTAAGATCCTATTTGATATCCTTAATTTCAAGGAACTATATATATTAAAACTGCTTGGATTTAGAAGCCCAGTTAATTATATTGTGTGAATATGAATACAAAAAAACGAAATTATTGGCACTACTCCATTCCTATGACTCAGGCTTGAAACTCCACTCGACTCTGCTTGCTCTCTCTCTCTCTCTCTCATTTCTCATTTTGGACAATCTTACAGAAGTCGCATCAGTGATAAAGAACTTTATTTTTGTGCTTGATTAATGCCTTTTTATTATTACATCTTCCTGGATAGTGTTATAAATTATTGCAAAATGGTGCATGAAAAATAATTTTTTTGCTTACCTATAGTCTGTTGGCTTTAATTATCAGAGGTTTACTTTTAGATATTGACCTGATATTCGCTGCTTATCAATGGTGCCAGGTTCTGCAATGGTAGTACAGAGTCAATTAGTTTTTTTTTTTAGTTTGTTACTCTGTGGTAGATAATTAGCGAGATATAATCCTTCTTCCCTAACTAACATTGTGCTTTGGGTAATTGTGTGTGTAAGAAAATTTTGTAATGTACGATATCATAGCTTGCATTGACTTTTACTTGTTGAAACTTCAATAATGATCCCATAGTTATTATATTTTGTTATTGCAATATTGATATTATTTTTTAACTGAATTAAATATAATCAGAACACAGATTTCCAGAAGGCGATCTATCCTTCCAGATTAATATCAATGGCTTTATCTCCAAGTGCTTCATCCAACAAGGTGGACAGTACATCATCAAGGACAATAATGAACAGTCATGGTTCTTTAGCAAAGCTGAAATTGAGCGATGGCAATAGCCTGTATGCAAATTAATGAGTGAGGATGATTTTGTGAAATCTATAAATAATGCTTTGGATTATGGACATGGCCCTTATCCTCAGTCTCGGTTATTTGGTCAGACCTATTTTCTTAGCTTAGAGCAGACGTGACATCATCAGCCGGTGAGTGTTTTGAAGTTCCACCGAAAGTGGTCAAGTTGGTTTAAGGTAGAATGGTGTTTCCATTTTTTTTTTTTTTTATCACATTCAAATCACTATGCATCAACGCATGTAGTTCTTATTGGTGATTCGGCACACACTGTTCATCCCTTGGCTGGTCAAGGAGTGAATTTGGGCTTTGGGGATGTTTTTGCTCTTTCAAAAATGATTGCTGAGGGTGTTGCAATAGGATCCGATATCAGTGAGGTATGTTATTTGCATTTCTCTTAGAATAAATAAGAGACTTGATTATCAAGCGCATAAATATTGATTATTGTAGTTTTTTCAGCCTTCCATTGAAATTTGTTATTCCATCTTGTTATTCTCCGTCGCTTCTTGCAACAGTATTACTGTAATATATGAACATGCAAAATACATTTGGACTTAAATGATAGGATATTAATGTTTTCAAATTGATGTCTGGACCTCAAGTGTGTGTGTGAGTGGATTAAACTCTTGACATTCAAATGAACCTCAAGAAGCAAATTTAGTTTGAAACGTGTAAAAGACAACTTATTAGAATTGAAACAAAAAAGAACATTTAAGACATGAACTTTCATGAATATAAGGCCAACAAAATTTTTAAGACAGTATTAAGTCGAAATATAAAGATCTAAAATTATGTAAATATATATATATATGCCATCTGAAATTTCAAGTAAAACATGATAGTTTTGCTTGCTGATGTTTTTCACATATATCAAATAGATCCTTGAGTAATAGATTTATTAGAACAGAAGTATAGGAATGTATGAAGAAGAAATCTCCCTTACAATTTAGTAGCTGGGAAAGAAAGAGATTGAATAGTCATCAATAGCCTTTCCCCTAGTTTTTTCTTACAAACCTCATATCAGCTATAGTGAAATTATGAACAAGCTTGTTGTTTATTTAGCATTCTATTTCATTCTACATGGCTGGTCTTATTGTTGGCTTACAAATTTCTTAAATACCATGTATTATCCATCTAAATAGTTAGTATGGAAGAATTTTTTTTTGCTTTTCATCTCTTATCAAATGTGAGCTTATTGACCAAGAGGAACCTTTTCTAGCTTCCTTTCCTTCGCCCTTTCCTCCCCACTACTTCTTTAAAGTTTTTAATATTTTCGTTATGTGACACAATTAAATTACTAAACTCGATATATATATATATTTTTTATTACAGAATGTGATTGAAGGATCGATTGTTACCGTCAAGATATTATACGAACAAGGGGGAGCTAATATATATTCAAAATTGATGGTTATGTTCTTATTTTGTAAAAGATTGATTGTTTCTTTTCGAATTTAATGGTTTAGTTTTTATTTCTTGTTGACGTCATCATATTGGATGGCTCGGAACTTTTTTAATATTCATAGTGGCTTTAATTTTTTTTTTTTTTTGGGACACGGAACTAGACTTATGCTTTTGGTTTAATGAAAAGTAATGAATTTTTGTTATTCTTATTAATACATGTTATGTTGTATGTGGTTATACGATATGATGTGTGCCTTATTTTTTCAAATTGAAGACATGTTTCATTTGTCATATTGAAAATAGGTGCAATACTGATTGTTAGTTCCATTAGAAAAAAAAGGGATTCTATATATATATATATATATATATATATATATATATATATATATTTATTTATTTATTTATAAAAAAAACCCCCTTTTGACGACATGCTATGCATGCTGTTAAAATAAAAATATAAGTGAGTCGTTAAAAGGGTAAACACAAACACAACATGCTTCGCGTATTGTCAGTGCATGCGTAGACGACTTTCAAATCACGCTGTTAAAGAAGTGCGTATTAACGACGCACGAGAAAAGTTGTACATTGTTTGAAAACATGATCCATTTTGTTGTTTAACGATGTCACATTTTAGCATTAACGGTTTGTAAAGCACACCATGAATAATATAGACTTTTCACAGCTTGTTCAATAAGAGCATGCCTATGCATGTCGTGAAAACCGTATAATGACTTGCATCGCATATCGTTAAAAGCCTTTTTTCTTCTAGTGAAACCTCGTGGACTTGTGCAGTCCAAAGTAAGCCAATCCACTATGCTTGAAACAAAGTATACCGAACTTTGACTCTGGCTTACACCCTATCATTCTACACCACACCAACCGCTGACGATCCTCTGGCTTTACGACTTCCCGTCCAATAATAACTTAACCTCAGGCTTACACTTGATATTTGTAAAAGAGTAGCAAGTAGATCAGACAGCATTCCATAAATACTCCAACCCTTCCAAAGTGTGACTGCATTTACTTCTGTTCTTCAACCGTCTGAATGATGTAGAAGAAGATCTACTTCGTCTAATCGATGTTAATATGATTGTATGATCATGATCAGGATTCGAACTCCACAAATCTAACCTAACTAGGTAAATATGTGTATGTTCTAGGAAGACAACAAAAAAATCAACTTTGATTTTCTGAGAGGGATAAACTTCCTAAGGCTTTGTATGATATATGAACAATGATTAAAAGCCGTGCCTAAACCTTGTATATGACATGGTTTATATAGAGGTTTTCAAAGTCCTATTCCTTCTGAAAATAAAGGAAATTTCGTGCCTAGAACTTGGAAGGAAATTGGGATAAAAAAGGAAACAATTAGAATTGGAAACTGAAAGTTCTAATACTGTCAGGACTCTTGGTACTGGTTCCCAAATTTGGTACTGGTTCAGGAAAGTCAGAAGCTTTTCCGATGCACTTTGGCTACCAGTTCAAAGATTCTCCTACCGGTTCCCACTAAGCAGAATCTAACCTAAACTTGGATTTTCTATATTTTTTTGAACTTTGAAAATATACCATATAGGTATTTATGTTATAAGTGGGAAACGAAGGCCTAATATGTTATTCTTTCCTTGTCGATGATCAATAGTACTTTCCTCTTCTGATCAACTTCTGAATTCCGCAGTCAATGTCAAGTCTGATATGGTAACTGAAATTACAACTCGACTAGGACTTGTTTTGTTACTGAAATATGCCAATTTAAAAAAAATATATCTTACAATTTCCCCCTTTGGCAATTTCGTGACAAAACGCTAAAAATAATTTATAATCTACCCAATGCAGAAAAATAAATTACAATTGTTTAAGAAAATACGGAATTTGATTAACTCTGTTCGCTTCTGCTCTTGGACAAAATTTCACCTGAATTCCTGCACATAGATCAAGCAAAACTACTAGTGAAAGCTTAATAAACCAATTAAAAACTCCCCCTGAATAAATTATCCAAAAAAAAATTTAAATTTTCTCCCCTTTAATGTAACCTTGTTCTCCCCCCTTTTTGGAACAAAATTGACAAAGTAATAGCAAAATAACCAGAGAGAAATAATACTAAAACAGAGTAAATAAGAATCAATTTAATACATGTTAGAAACCAAAACAGAATATCCAAAAATATTAAATCAAGACAATTTAAAAACTGAGCAAAAAGCAATGCCATGATACAAGACAAAATATCAGGCATTAGTATCTCCAGAAATAATGTAAGAAAGAAAATCAATACTCTCCACCATCATTCTTATCATCATCTTCATCACAATGACAATACTAGTTCTAGCTTGCTTGGGAGCTTCCGGGATCTCAATTCCTTTACCTTTGACTTCTTTGAGTAATTGAGATGCCATGTTCTTCACACAATTCTTCACTTTGAAGCTTTCAACTTCTTTTAGGAATTCTATCAAACACTTAGTGTGAACTTCGACACTTGTTTTTGAACAAGCTTGATATGATTCTTCAAAGTCCCAACAATCAACCCAATATCAAAGCAAACAAAGCTTCAATCACAACCCAAACAAGTCTTAATCTCTAATTTTCTCAAACTCCTAAACTCCACAAATTCTCTTCAACTTCCAAGTTTAAATCTTCAATTCTTGATGTTGATACAAAGATCACAATATTATGAGAATAATGCATTTGAAGATGTGAATATATGTGAGCAATATAGAGAGAGAAAGTGGGTACTCTCGAGAGAGAATGGGTTTATGCAATATGACCCAACAAAGAGCAAAAAGTGAAACTTTAAAGCTCATTCTCACTGCCAGGAACCGGTAGCCAAAGTGGGAACTGGTTCCCACTGGGCAGTGAGCAAAACGTGGATGTGGACCACTTTTGAGCCGGTACCAAACTTGTAATACCGGTAGCCAAACTCCAGAGACTTATGTAATGCTCTTTTGTAGCTTGAATCGGTAGAAAGTTCCTAGAACCGGTAGGCACATGACAGACCTGAAATTTTTAGACTTAAAACTTTCAAAAAAAAAATTTCTAACAGTCTTTTTGAAACACTAAATGATCAAATAAATAAACTACAATCAAAAACCAATAATCTTTTTGAATTTTTTTTTTAGATGTTAGATTTTTATTTTATTTTAAAACAAAATAAAGAACAAATCATTGAACAGTCAATCGAAGTCATTCAAGTCCACACATGATCCAAATTTCCAAAAAATTTTCAGAGATATCTATGAACATAAATTTTGACTCTACAGAATATTCAATCAATTTCAATTCTCACGAAATAATCACAACATGAATTTTAACTTGCAAATTTTAATGAAACATTTAGACATCAATGTAGCAAGTTCAAGTGTGTGTGTGCAATCCATCTCATCAATTTTCAATCAATTATCAATAAATCATTGTCCAAACCATATTGATCGAAAATCATCAAGATAAAATAGCCTTTGAGTAATTTTTCTAAGTAAGGTGGCTTTCACTCTAAAGAGCAGACAGCAATTCCCCAATTCAACTTATCTCCACCTTTCTTTTTACTCATGTAGCTCCACTTCAAAGTCTCATGGGAGCTTTCGAACACATCTCAATAGGTAGCCTTTTCCTAAACAAAGAATTCAACAATTTTTTTTATTTTTCTTTTTCAAGCTAAATCTATTCATTTTTTTTAAGCTCCTATATATATTTTTTTATAACAATAACCTTTATAGCTTTTATGATCAATATACTCCAGTCAACAATTCAAAGATTTTCAATCAAATTTTTCAGATTTGAACTAGTGCACAAAAACTTATGAACTTAAGAGATTCAA